TGTGAGACCTCTTATGTTCTTCTAGCCTCCATTTCTTATTAAAACTCTTCCCACATTCCTTACAAGTTTTACCCTCATCGTCGACATCCGCCATGTTTTTTCTGTTCAGGAGACAGGAGTCTGGGATCTATAGGATTCATATCCAGGGATTTTCATCGGAAGTTGGCGTGGAATCCGTTGGAATCGTGAAGGACTATGTTCTAGCGTTGTTGCTCCTGTTGGTCGATGGTCACTCATAAAGAAAAGACAGGGAAAACATACAAAAAAAGAAATGAATTAAAACTGTTATGAGTTCGGCCACCTTTGCAGAAAGACATGAAAAAAGTTCTTTCAAACACGTTCATTCAGACGGCCAGCAATAAGAAACGATACCGTTATATAACGTGATTACGTCATGATTTTCGAGCGGTCGCCATCTTGGAACTACAGTGTTCAGTCGTGACACCAGAAAACTCACAGAACTGTCTCAAAATGAATCAAAACTAGCAATAAGGACATGAAAATTATCTAGAAGCGTACGCGTCGAATGTTATGGTATCGCAATAGGAAAAATCATTAAAAGGGAAATAAATAAATTGGGGAGGAAATGGAAACTGCATTCTCCTTACGTCGTGGCATGACTGAACATTGAGGTACTGTCAGACAATAACATCAGACATATCCAATCGAACGGTAGTCTGCCGGAGTTGTGATGCTTCGTCTTGAGTGAGCCTGAGAGAGTGACCATGATTGTTTGATAAGGCCAATTCGTTCGAAACGTTTTAGAAAATTATATAGAGGATATTACATGCCCGCGTGTGGATACGAATTTTATTGTTGCTTGTTATCGCAAGTTCGCTCCGTTTACTGAGATAATAAAGAAACGGCTGTGGAGCGGCAGCATGCAACATTCCAATATTGGTGAGAGATCAACAGCCGGTACAGTCCGATAAGAGGGTTGATACCTCCACCCAAGTCCGAAGTGCCATTGCATTCTGAATTCACTGTACTGAACAAGATAAATAAATAATCTTAAAAACTAACAAGAAAGGTAAGACAAGATGCCGTCAAATGACCCCGGCTGTGCTAAGAAGAATGCGCACTTCCGTGATCATTTTAGCCCGCAAGTACTAGTGTAAATACTTTCGAACAAGCTTGGCAAATGTGCAGAGAACTGAAAACATTTTCTTAGACTTGTGATACTTGTTTTTGGCTTTGACTTTTCTCAGAAAGGCAATTTCACTAGGAGGAAATTGGCCCCTTACACTCACCGAAAAAAAAATTGGGGGGATTTCATGGAAATTGAATCAAAAGGTAAGGTGAACTGCTGGAAGGAAGTTGATCGGGACAATCAGTGAACATGCTCCCTGTACGTGCTGGGCTCATGTCAAGACTCATGCATGCCCTGGGGCTAATGCTTTTTCAAGTTGGTTGCGCTTTGCTTTATAAAGTTACCTGTCTTGATCTCAGTTCACACGGAAACGCCACGGAAATTACGAGTAAAACCAGATGTAACAACTCTTCAAGTTAAGAGAGTTTCCAGAGGTAAGTTGCATGCAATTGATTTCGATTCAGATTACAGTAATGCATGATGTATTCCGCTTTGTTTGAAGATACCCATGACATTGATACTCATGATATCTTGGTCCAATTTGTACGAGACAATCGCTCTTCAGTTTCGAACCGTAATTGCTCGCAAATTGGACTGGAAATCTAAAGAAACGGAAGGCATGCAGTTGTATGGTCTGAATAAAGTATCCAACAGTATAATATCGAAAGCATCCGGTTTTCAATGTGCCTTCGAGTGGAGTAAATCCCGGGGGGAGATATTTGGGTCAATGTTTGCTGAGGATGTGCGTCTGGCCCTTCAGAGCCCCTACCCCATTATAGTCTATTCTGTGGCCAATTATAGACCCCATCTTA